ATGGGCCCAGTGGCTGAGAAACTACGCCAAGGGTGAAAAGGCGGGACTGTTCGCTGTCTAGAATGTTCTAGAAATCAAAATAAAAAAATTTCCTAACACCCATTAGGACAGGACAATCGTTCCTTTCTTTAAGAGTAATAAATGAAGTGCGAGAAGTTATTTGTCTGGGGGGGCAACAAAACTTAGCTGCAACAAAAGTTTCCAGAGAGTTCAATTGAATCAAATCGCCATTTTGTCTCGATTGAGTTAATGATACGTTCAGGGTTCAAATCGGGGACATATCTATCCTTGTTTGTCTGGAGAGCACCCAAAAATAGCTATGATGGCCAAATATAATACGCGCTTTAATATACTTCCAAACAAATAACGAAATGAACTGAACAATCGAAGCGAACTGAACAATTGAAGCAAAATGAACACTTGAAGCGGTTTCTAAAATGAAATTACAAATAACAAGCGATTGTAATTATAAGTAAAGAAATTGACAAACGAGAAAACAGAATAAAGGAAAATAAAGACGGTTGCAAACTTTGGATGAGATCCCGGGACAAACGACTGGCTTAAGATGATATAAAACGATTTAAGGTGGTTGAGAAAAATGACCCAACCGCGACAAAGCCGAATGAATAAAATGCACGGTAAAGAACTTATGCGGAAAGTACAAACAAAGGGTAATCATGCAAAAAAGGTAGAATATCGATGAAAATAATGCATACAAAAACAAACGAACTTAATGAAAATGCGACGAAACGAAAAAAGACGAATTTATGGTGATAACGTAGACGAAACCGCATTATTACGGTTCTTACAGCGCCCGTGGGCACGATGAAGCGAATCCTGTGTTCTGATTGGCTACCCAAGCGGGCAAGATGGGCCCATCTCGCCTGCTCGGGATTGCCCCCATTGATCCCGCAAATTAAAAGAATTGAATTAGAACTACGTTCATAATTCTTGGACAATTTCGCACATGGAAACGCAAATACCCGCAGAAGATAGTCAAACAAAGAAAACAGAAACGACTCTCTTGAGTTTGTGGTGCAAC